GTCGTTTGTTGCTTTGTTTATGATAGCCATCCTGACTGGTGTAAAGTGGTATCTCATTGTGGTTTTAATTTGTATGAGAGAGGTTTCTTATCTATCATTTGTCAAAGTACAAGGCTGGGCTGCTCAGTGGGTAGGGGTATAAAGCTAACTATTTCACACATTCATTCCCTTGTAGGCCTCTCACAGCCAAGCTAGCCACCTCACAGAGTGCTGGCCAAGGTGGGTGGGGCAGGTAAGAGAGCCATCTTCACTCCTAGAGAAATAGTTCAGAGTTGATGACTTACTCTCAGTGCCACGTTTTCTTTAGACAAGGAGAGATTTGTAACTTCTCACAAATCATTTTTTTTGATTGCAAGAAAGGGCAGAACAATTGCAATATTTAGTTGCAGTAACTTTTCTATCTTCAGTTCCTAGTCCATTCCTATTTCTCCTTTCCTGATGGAGTTGCTGGTTTTTCTTTTATACTTCCTTTAACTAATCTAGCTATATGTTCTCTCTCTCTCGTTCTGTAAGCCCCTTCAAATCTTTAGAATGTGGTGACTGTTAGATTTAAGGACAAGTGACTGATTTAACAGCATATCCCAGTGGGGAAAGGTTACTTCATCTTTTACCTTGAAATTTTGTTTCTTTTTTGACACTTCTTCATCTGTATTTGACATTTGTTTTCTCACCTGGATACTTTACAAGTTAGGTCTGAGAAAAGAATAACAAAACATTAATGAAAAAGGACATTTGTGTTAGTATTTGAGCTCTTCCAAGAGCATTATTATTTTGCTGAGAATCGTGTGTTTCTGCCAAGAGTGAAAAGGCAGAAAATAAGATTTGAAAGATGTATTTTTATTTCTTATTGATTTAAATCAAGAGACTAGTTGTTAAAACAGATCACTCACTTGTCCTCTTCAGCAGCGTCCTAATTTTATATTTGTCCTAATTTAAATATATGTGACTTTCAGGCCATGTCAAATCCTTTTTGGAAAAAGATGGTATGAAAATAAAATAGCTTTTTTGCCTTGTCTGCTGTTTTACTCTTTTATGTACCATGGTTTGTCCCATCATTAATTCATTAGCACATCATTCAACAGTCATTTGCTCATTCAATAAACATTTAGTAAGCATATCTCTTGAGTGTGAAAAGACCATAAAGTTGTCCTATTTATCCTTTGTTCCAACAAACTTTAGGATACTCACAAAATTTGGCTCTGAATCTTTGCAGTTTTGTTCCTGAAAGTAAAAAATTCCCAGTTCTCTCCTTTGCAGTATTCTCTGTTGAGGAACAAGTTTTTGTAGGATCTGAGCTATGGAGCACTTGATTGAGATTCCTCTGGGTCACAAATGTATTTTTTTATGACTTTGAGCTCAAGACCAAAAGTACAAGTCCTTCATCCTTCTGCCCTCTGTCTGTCTCTCTTTTTCTTTTCTTTCATTTTGTTTTGTTTTGTTTTCATTTCTTTTCTCTTTGCTTTCTTCTTCCTTAGAGTGAGTCCTCTGTCATCTGGGGTATGTCTCCACTTCCTAGCCAAAGGTTAGGTCACTTACTCTCTGCCTTCCTACTTTAACCCAGACTTTTATTCTTTGTATGGAAGACTCTTGATCTCTAAATCCCTTTTGGGTCATTATATAGATTGGAATCTTTACTTTCTGGCCTGTCAGCTCAGAGTCTCTGATGTGAATTTGCACATTAGGTTCCTACCGCTACTCTTGCTTTGTTTTCAAAGCACTATCAAAATACCAAGTTAATCAGTTATAAAGCCCTTATAAGGAAGGTAGTATACCACGAGTCATCATATGAACTCTGTCAGTAGACAGATGCAGGTTCTGCCACTTACTAGCTGTGACCACGGTTAAGGACCAACCTTTTCAAGTCTCAGTTTGTCACCTATACAATAGGGCTCATGACTGTTGTGAATATGAAGAGACAATCCACATTGATTATACAGCACACTTTAAGACACATTGTAATTACTCTACAAATGTTTGTCATTATTGTTATTGCACTCCACATTGAATGCAAGCACTACAAGAGTGGGAATTTTTATCTCTTTTGTTCACTGCTATTTCTTCAGTACCTGGAACAAAATTTGGTACATAGTAGATACTTATTAATTATTTGTTGAATGAGTAAATAATGTATTTTATATATATTTTTGTGATTCCCACAGTGTTAGGAGTTTTCCTACTTTCAGTCCAAGGTGATTCTAAGTACATTAGTTGGTTGAATTAGGTATTTCTGAGCTGGAATGAGTAACATTATCCAGGTTTCTAGAGAGTATATCATGACTTCTGTGAATGGCAGAGTAAATGAGTTTGCCTTAGATGTCATCCTATGTCTAGTGGTTTTTCACTGGAACATATAGATTTCAAATGCAGCATTGTTTACCTTGTCATTTGAAATGAGAATATGTACTTTTCTAGGTAATGAAAGTACAAACACTATTCAGGGTCTTTGTTATCTTTTAATTCCTACTTTCTGGCACACACTTGAGTTTAGTTAAATATTAGGTTTTGTTGAGTGAATGTGCCCTCTTTTAGATCCTTTGTTATATGATCATGTAAAAATAGCAGGAGTCAACCAAGGCTTTGTGTAAAGAGCCAGATAGTAAACATTTTAGGCTTGTGAGCTACACAGTTTGTGTCATGACTACGCAACTTCACTGAAAAAGTGGCCACAGACATAAACAAAGGGATGTATCTGTGTTCTTATAAAACTTTATTTGAAGTCCATGTATGGGTCATAGTTTGCCAACTCCTGGCTTATAGAGTGGCAAGAGAGTTAGAGACAAAAATGAATAAAAATAATACACCCAGTTAGGAACGTGTGTGCGAATGGATTTTAAATATATAATATCCATTAAACTAACAAGCAGAGGTTTAAGCCATAAACAAATTCATTTGAATTCTAAGCTTTTGTATTGGATGTTGCCTGGATCTGTTTTATCCATGTTAGTAAATGAATCAAGCAGCAAAGACCCAAACAAAATGAACAAAGCACAAATTAGCATGGATGCCAAGAATGCAATGGTTCAGACTTAATGCTTATTTATTCTCCTGGATGCTTATCCTTAATTCTCTTTGAATGCCTGTAGGTGTTGACCATATGACTTAGGGTGTAGTTGATCAGTGGCTTATGGGGACATTAAAGTGCTACCGTGGTGTCTTGTTTGCCCTCTGACTATTATTTCTACCCCAAAACCTATATAATAAGGTCTCTGCTATTGCTTTTTAAAATGTGGCAGAAAACAGCAGATATGAGGTAGTTATTAATTTTATCTGACAACCAACTGAACATCTATTCTATAAGAATGATTATGGGAAGGAACCTAGAGGAGGAAGCAGAAAAGATTTTTAAAAAGGCACCATCTCTATTTTTATAAAGCTCATAAGCTAGTGGGGGTGACACATCAACAAACAGGCAATAACACATACAATAATGTGTGATATCATAAGTGTTATTGGAAAGCATTGGCTAGTCCTAGAGTTTTAAAATCATGCAGCATATTATCGGATATTGGACGCTTAAACTGTATCTTGAGGAAGTTCAAACCTAGTAGTTAGTGTAATTATTTTCTATTATGAAAGTTAATTTTATATGCATATGGATATGCTTCAAACCAAATCTCGTCCTTAAAAAAATGCACCCAGGAAATAGAGAATTATTCCCATTGAGTTAGCTTATGAAATAACCATTAATGATCCCAATGGTTGACACTTCTCTCAAAGAATAACAGAGTAAAACAGACCTGGGAAGAAGCAAGGGTTTTCATTCTCTCATAATCAATGCTAAGCTCCATAGAACACAGTGCAAAAATAAGGGAGAAATATCACTTGTTATAAATATGAGTCATGACTAAGCCTTATCTGATGTATTTGCCATGGGAGAATAAGTAGAAATTCGATTTATGGTCTTATTAACATGTCTGCTGTCAAAATTAATGATTTATTATAAGAAAGAGGTTTTTCTTATATTCGTCACTATCATACCAGTGACTAAATTAACATATGTTTATTTTTCCACAAACTTTGATTTTCATCACGAAACCCCAGATGCAATGTGTTGTGCTAACATTTACGACTAGTAGCCTACATTCTTCCCTAAATTGACAAAAACCCTTCAAAACTGACATTTATTTGTTAATATGTTTTATTAACTGTTCAATAAAAAGACATTTATAGCATAGGTAGGAGGAATGAAAACATAACAAACACCAATATATCCATTACCAAGAAATAAGAAATAAACACATATGTTAAAAAATTAAATTTGTTCTTGTGTCTGGTATAAGTTCGTGGTTGAGTTTGATTTTTTTGCATTTAGCTGTCCAGATCTCCCAACACCATTTATTGAAGAGGCAATTTTTACTACATTTTATGCTTCTGCCCCCTTTTTAAAATATTAATTAACCATAGAGACTTGGGTTTATTTCTGGGCTCTCTGTTCTGTTCCATTTATCTATGTGTTCTTATTCCAGTACCAGACTGTTTTGATTACTGTGGCCTAGTAATATAGTTTGATGCCAGGTATTGTGACCTCTCCTACTTTGTTCTTCTTTCTCGAAATTGCTGAGGCTATTTGGAGTCATTTATGGTTCCATATAAATTTTTGAAGTGTTTGTTCTATGTCTGTGAAATATGCCATTGGTACTTTAATAGGTATTGCATTGAATCTGTAAATTGCTTTGGGTACTATGGACATTCTGATGATGTTAATTCTTCTAATCCATGAACCACTATACACTTCCATGCATTTGTGTCTTCCTTAATTTCTTCAGTGTTGTGTAGTTTTCTGAGCATAAGTCTTCTACTTCCTTGTTTAGGTTTTTTTTAATGTTTTTAAATTTTAATAAATACTTGACTGGCACTCAGTATGTGCCTGGCACTTGATAAGCATTAATTTATTCCTTTTACTGATCAGGACACCAGGAATAGGTGGTTAAGTCACCAGTTCAAGGTCACAAAGCTAGTCAGGCAGAAAACCCGAAACTGGAACCCAGGTCCTCCAGTCCTGAAGTTCACAATCTTTTTTTTTTGTGTGTGTCATCCTTGCGCAGGGGCCATGCTAATCTTCTCTGTATCGTTCCAATTTTAGTATATGTGCTGCCGAAGCGAGCACCACAATCTTTTTTAAAATTTATATTTTATTGATTATGCTATTACAGTTGTTCCACTTTCCCCCTTCATTCCCCTCCACCCTGCACACCCCCTACCACCCACATTCCTCCTCTTTACTTTATGTCCATGTGTCACAAGTTCTTTAGATTCTACATTTCCCATACTATTCTTGCCCTCCCCTGTCTATTTTCTACCTACCATCTATGCTACTTATTCTCTATACCTTTTTTCCCTCCCTCCTCCTCCCACTCCCAGGAGTGGCGGGCAGACCTCGGGTACCAGGTGACAATGAGCAGACCCAGTGAGGTGTACAAGGCTGCCATGGCTGACCATGGTCACACATTCGCGTGCAGATAAACCAGGCAAAAATGGGGAGCGAGACAGATTGTGCAACCCAATGCCCCAGTGGCAGGAAGTAAAGCCTAAAAGCACTGATTGAAAACACTTGTGGGGGTTGAGGTGTTGGGAGAGATTCCCAGCCTCACAGGAGAGTTTGTTGGAGAGACCCACAGGGTCCTAGAATGTACACAAGCCCACAAACCCGATAACCAGAAACAGAAGGGCCCAATTTGCTTGCAGGAAGTGGCAGAAGGGACTGAATTCTGAGAGAGAGCTCAGCAAGAATCATTGTTTTCTCTCTGACCCCGCCCCCACAAACAGTGTCACAACCCAGCAACGTGAGTTGCCCTGCCCTGGTGAACAACTAAGGCTCCATACCTCATACATAACATCACAGGCATGACTAGAACCCCTCCCCGCAAAAGAATGGCTCAAACACAAGAACAGATCATAGCCCCAGAGGCAACACATTTAAGTGACCAAGACATAGCCAACCTATCAGATGCACAGTTCAAAGCACTGGTGATCAGCATGCTCAACAGAACTGGTTGACTTTGGTCACAAAGTAGATGAAAAAATGAAGGCTAAGTGAAAATAAGTGAAATGAAGGAAAATGCACAGGGAACCAATAGTGATGGGAAGAAAATTGGGATTCAAATCGATGGAGTGGACCAGAAGAAAGAAACAACCAAACAGAAAAGAATGAAGAAACGAGAATGCAGAAAAAATGAGGAGAGGCTTAGGAGTCTCCAGGACATCTTGAAACGCTCCACCATCCGAATTATAGGGGCACCAGAAGGGGAAGAGGAACAGCAACAAGTGGAAAACTTATTTGAACAAATAATACAGAAGAAATTCCCCAATCTGGCAAAGGAAATAGACTTCCAGGAAGTCCAGGAAGCTCAGAGAGTCCCAAAGAAGTTGGACCCAAGAAGAAACACACCAAGGCACACCATAATTACATAGCCAAGAGTAAAATGAAGGAGAGAATTCTAGAAGCAGCAAGAGATAAGGGGACAGTCACCTACAAAGGAGTTCCCAGCAGACTGTCAGCTGATTTCTCAAAAGAGACCTTACAAGCAAGAAGGGGCTGGAAAGAAGTATTCCAAGTCATGAAATCCAAAGATCTACAACCAAGATTACTCTATCCAGCAAAGCTTTCATTTAGAATGGAAGGGCAGTTAAAGCGCTTCTCAGATAAGGTCAAGTTAAAGGAGTTCATCATCGCCAAGCTCTTTTATATGAAATGTTAAAGGGACTTATGTAAGAAAAAGAAGATAAAAAGTATGAACAGTGAAAGGACAGCAAACTCACAGTTATTAACCACACCTAAAACAAAAGCAAACTAAGCAAACAACTAGAACAGGAACAGAACCATAGAAATGGAGATCACATGGAGGGTTAGCAATGGGGGAGTGGGAGGAAGAGAGAGGGGGAAAAGATACAGAGAATAAGTAGCATAGAAGGTGGGGAGACAATAGACAGGTGGAGGGCAAGAATAGTATGGGAAATGTAGAAGCTAAAGAACTTATGACACATGGACATGAACTGAAGGGGAATGTGGGTGGGAGGGAGTGTGTATGGTGGAGGGGAATGAAGGGGGAGAAATGGGACAACTGTAATAGCATAATCAATAAAATATATTTTTAAAAAAGAAAAAAGGGGGGAACCAAATGTATGGGAAAATATATCTGCAAATGATATCTCGGACAAGGGTTTGACCTCCAAAATGTATAATGAACTCACACAACTCAATGCCAGGAAGACAAATAACCCAATTAAAAAATGGGTAAGGGACCTTAACAGACACTTCTCCAAGGAGGACATACACAGGGCCCAAAGTCATATGAAAGCATGCTCAGCATCACTAGCCATCAGAGAGATGCAAATTAAAACCACAAAGAGATACTACTTCACAACGGTTAGAATGGCCATCATTAACAAGTCAATGAACAACAAGTGTTGTAGAGCATGTGGAGAAAAGGAAACCCTAGTACACTGTTGGTGGGAATGCAAAACTGATACAACCACTGTAGAACACAGTATGGAATTTCTTTAAAAAATGCAAAATACAACTGCTTTTTGAGTTTGCAATTCAACTGCTGGGATTATACTGTAAGAATCTTGAATTACCAATTCAAAAGAACCTACTCCAATGTTCATAGCAGCACAATTACAGTAGCCAAGTGTTGGAAGCAACCTAAGTGTCCATCAGTAAATGAGTACATCAGAAAATTATGGTACATTTACACAATGGAATACTATGTAGCAGAAAGAAAGAAAGAAGGAGTTTCTACCCTTTGTGACAACATGGATGGATCTGGAGAGCATTATGCTAAGTGAAATAAGCCAGGTGGGGAAAGACACATGGCCATATGATCTCACTTATATTAGGGGAACCTAATTGATGAAACAAGCAAGCAAGCAAAATATAACTGGAGACATTAAAATAAAGAACAAGCTGATAGTAACCAGAGGGGTGGGGAAAGGGGAGAATGGGAGCAAAAATGGAAGGGTCATCAAGGATCATGTATAAATGACACATAGACAAAGCCAAAGGGGGGTAGGATTGAGGGCGGAAGGTGGTGATGGGTTGGGAATGGGGGAGAAGTGGGGGCAAAATGGACACAACTGTACTTGAACAACAATAAGTAAAATAAAATAAAATAAAATAAAAATTTAAATTTAGTTTTGTAGAAGTAATGCATCATAGGGTACAAATTCAAAATTTACAAAAGGATATATATGGGATATTCTACCGTTTGTTTTGTCCTTTGTATGTAAAACATATCCTTATTATTTCTCATAGCTGTATAGTATTCTGTTGTATACATTTAACATCATTTATTTAACCAGTAGTGTACTGATCTATATTTTAGTTATTGCTAATACTTCTTTGTTACAAAAAATGCTGCAATGACAAACCTTGTATGTAAACCCTTTAACATATATGCAAGTATATCTGCAGAATAAAGTCCTTATAAATGGAACTGTTTAGTTTAAAGCCATGCATTTTTAAGATGTGTATTTTTTAAATTGCTGCAATATTTTTAATGTGAAAAGACTGGAAACAACCCAAATGTTAATCAAGAGTGATTGGTTGGATAAACAATGGTGTGTCCTCACAACGGAACACTTTATAGGAGAATGTTCTGTCTGGTTCTATGGAGTGATGTCCAATATGTTGTTAAAGTAAAAAAGCAAGATCAAGGATAGTATAAAATAGCATGCTATAATTTTCCATTTACTTATATTTTTAAATGGAAGAGTGAAATGGAAAAAAATAGATTCTCTATGGCAGAAATTAGTAATAAAATACAAGGGATATAGAATACAAACTTCTGTGAGTATAGCTCATTTTGTGGATTGACTTTGGAATCATGTAAATAGTTTTTACCCAGTTAACAAAAAATTTAATAAAACTGCAGTTTCTAAAAATGTAGGAAAACCAAGTAAATAATTGTAACTTCAATTCATGTTTGGGACATAACCACAGAGAGTCACTGTTCTAAGTTATTTAAAACAGCAATTTGATTGTATATCCCTAATGGCATAAACCCTAAGGATAAAAATATAGCAAAAGAAAATTTGAGTTGTTTTTTCAGTAATTTAAAAAATAATTTTGGCATTATTATTTTGAGGATTTAAGACAATGTGTAATTATTTTAGTGATTTTGAGAAGGAAGTTTTCAGAATGAAAGAAGAGCATGTGAAAAGTCAATATGGGACTTCCGCCAAGATGGAGGCATAGGTGGATGGGCCGTGCCTTCTCACACAACCAAGTTTAGAGACAACTAAATATTAGCAACAGAAAACATAGTCAGAACACGGAAAATTGAACTTTTCGGAAGTCCGTTAACAGCAAATTCTTCAGCCTGACCGGTAAGGGGCGAAACCAGCTGCTGGTGAGGGGTTGCACAGGAGGACTCGGTCGGACTCAGGCGCAGAATCCAGATGCGCAGAATCCAGGTGCAGGGTTGGACCTAGTGAGCGACCGAGCGAGCCACCAGGCGAGCGACCCTGGAGGAGACAGCGGGGAAGCGGTGCTGCGTGTTGACTGTGGTCACCCATTTGTGCGCAAGCGGACGGGCGAGGGAGTGGGCGGTTGGACCAGGCCCGACGGGTCCCCGCGGCAAGCGGCAGTGGAGGGCACCGCCATTTCCCCGCTCTGACCACGCCCCCACATACAGCGTCACAACCCAGCGACCTGGGAGTCCAAGGCCCCGCTTCTCACACTTAAAGGGCCAGAACAGACCAAAAATGTCGCAAGATCTCAAAGCCCCAGAGCCCATAGATCTAAGCGATGAAGAAATAGCAAAACTCACAGACGCACAGTTTAAAACACTGGTCATCAGGATCCTCACAGAACTGGTTGATTATAGCCACAAATTAGACAAATATATGAAAGCGAAACTAATTGAAATGAATGGAATTGCACAGGACACCAATAGCAATGAAAAGGAAACTGGGACTCAGATCAATGGAGTGGACCAGAAGAAAGCAAATAATGGCCAAATAGAAAAAAGTCAGGAAGCAAGAATTCAAAGAAATGAGGAGAGTCTTAGGAACTTCCAGGACATCTTTAAACGCTCCAACATCCGAATTATAGGGGTACCAGAGGGGGAAAGGAACAGCCACCAGTGGAAAACTGATTTGAACAAA